GCCTCACCTAGGCGCCCCCCACCCACCCCCCCCCCGGCTCCGCCCTGTGCCCATGGCGGTGGAATTAAAGGTGGGAACAGACCCAGGGCTAGTGTGTTTGTGCGTGGAGGTCCTCCGAGAGCGGCACACGGCCGGGAACCTCCCCCCAATCCCCCGCCACTCCTGGGTGGCGTGAACAATGCTAGAGACCTGCAAGCTGATCAGGGACCTCCTGTTCCCCTGCCGCGCGGAAAATCAAAGTCACTGGCCACCCCGGGGGAGGGGGGGACTCTGTGAGCGAGCTGGCCTGTCTTCTCTTCTGCTCCCTACTTCAGTTCTCAGGAACCCGGGCCCACCCCTGTCCTGTGCACCCTTCCCTCTCGACCAGCCTCTCCCAAACGCCTGCCCAGACCACTGATCAGTTCTAGATCAGGCACAGAGGGCCAAAAATCCCACCCCCACCACCACCATCCCACACACACACTGACATTTGGGGAAGTGGCCCGTGACCCTCCAGAGTGTACCCAAATCTTCATCCACTTTCCTCTGGATCTTGGAGTCCAGTGGCAGAGGGCTGCTTCTGCAGTGGGCAAATCACAGCCCCCGCTGCCCGGGAGAAGCCTTTGGAAGCAGCGCTGGAAGAAGTGGGTGGGGACTACTATGTGCTCACTGTCCTCTTCACCCATGACAGGACTGGGGAGGGTGACTGGGCTGCTGGCCTGGGAGGGGACCCCGGGAGGCCATGACTGGGGGCGGGACTGAATGACCGAGTTACAGCACTCAGTTCAGTTTTCTCTAGCCTTTCTCCCAAGCCTGTTCCTCACCCTTCCTGTCTTCCTTCTCTTGACTTTGCTCTGGTTCTTCTCTCAGTGTGGCTGACCCTGGACTAGGCTATGCCTAACTGTGATGAGCTCTGGACAGGACGCCCCATGGTGAGAGATGGGGGAGCAATGCTTGCAGGAATCCCTCCACACCCCCACCTGCAGGTGGAAGGGATACTGTGGGTGAGGAACGTGTTGATTTGGAAACAGCAAGGAGGTTATTTTCCTATTAGGTGATGGGTCACCTCCGGAGAGACAGCCTCCTTCTCCCACCCCACATATCCCACCACCCACTCAGCCTTCACTTCCTAGAGTCTGCACCCCACTGTCTCAGCTCTGGCGGGGAATGGGGTGGAGTCATGTGTGATAGATAGTGGGTCCCTGTGCCCTGGAGCCCTCTTAGGGCCCTGAACTCTGACCTCCTTCCTAGTGTCCAGCCTCTGCCTCCCTCTTATCCTTCCTGACCCCCTGAAGCTGGTGAAGACAGGAGAGCTGCCCCAGGATGGGGATACATGCTGGGTGCCAGCCCATATGGGCTCCCAGGCACTGGAAACTCTTCTGTGATGTCTCCACTGGCATCAGTGGCTTCTCCCAGCCCTTTCCTGGGCTTTAGCCTCCTAGCCGCTTCTACCTTCTGGTCTTTGGAGAACACATCATAGTGAGCCTCAAGTTGAGTGGGAGGGAGCACCCACAGGCCAGTGTGTTCCCCACTCCCACCAGGACCCCCCACATGAGACAAGGACCTGACCTGAACACTGGTCAGGTATCAGTGGGCACCATTGAGCAGCTTCCTCATTGGCTGGCATGGGGAAGAGGAAGGGAACAGGATGTAGGTGCACCCTTACGATGCTAAGAGTGGGGTGAGGGGCTGGGGAGCCGTGGAGTGGGTGGTGACTGCGTCCCACCTTTCTCCCATCCACAGGGTTCATCTTATATCAGCCCCAGCTCAGGCTGTGCTCATCCTGATCCGGGTACCCACAAGGCCAAATACACAGTTCCAGGGGAGCCTCGTTTCACACCCTGGGAACACAGTGGCTTCCCGTGCATGTCCTAATGGCCAGAGCAAGGAAGCAGCTCCCCTGGAGGGTCTCTGTGGGACCACAGGTTTTCTCAACCCCTGAATCTGTGTCCTTGCAGGTGGGACTTGTGTCTCTCCAGCCCTTCAGTACCTGACTGCCCAACCCTGTGCTGCTTCCAGGCGATTCTTCCCTCTGCAAGCAAGGCCAGGTCATAGGGCAAATAGCAGAACCCTGGGGCTCAGAAGCCCTGGCCCTATCTCAAAAGCGAGATTTCCACCTTGTTTACCTGTGAACCAGGCTACTACCTTCCTTGACACAGATGTTACAGATGTGAAGACTGAATGAGGAAATGAATATCTGAAGGCCTGAAGCACAACCACTTGTCAGGAAAAGTGAGCCCTTCTACCTCTTGCTTTGAGGACGTAGTTCTGTGTTTCAAAAGGCTCTGGGAAGCAGCATCAAAAGGCATGAGGAGGGACTCCCAGCCTCCAAGGTGGCAATACAGGAGACTGACCATCTCTAAATTAGTCAGCTTCACATCACTATAATAAATACCTGATGGAAGCAATTTATAAAGAGAAAAAACTGGCCAAGCATGATGGCACATGCTTACAAGCACTCTGACACTCTCAGCACTCTGGGAGGCTGAGGCAAGAGGATCTCAACTTCAAGACCAGCCCAGGTAATTTAACAATTTATCGAGACTCTGTCCCAAAATAAAAAAGAGCTGGGGATATAGCTCAGTGTGAAGGCTCTGGATTCAATCCCAAGTACAGGTGATAAAAGTAAAGTAGTTACCAAGACAGAGAGAGTAGTTATTTTGGCATAATTGTGGAGGTTTCAGTACATAATGGGTTGGCTCTGTTGGTTTGGGCCACTGGTGAGGCAGCACATCATGGCAGAAATGTGGCAAAGCCAAACCACTTGACTCATGGCCAGGATGCCAAGAGGAGGAGGCAGTGGCCCTACTGTCACCTTCCAGGCCATGCCCCTGTGACCTAAATTCTCCCACTGAGTCCCACCGAGCCCCCAACCCATGAGCCTTTGGGAGACACTGCTGCAAACCACAACAACCCCTCTTCTTTCAGCACCCTGTAGGGCCTCCCATGTTCCCTGTACTCCTTTGGGGAGACAACATCTTCACATTGAAGGCGGTGGCTGCAGGCTCCTGGCAGCACCATGCTAGTCACTTTCAGAAGGTTCACGGGCCTCTCTCTTTGCCTCTTCTCAGCTTCTTCTGGCAGCTACCGCCATTTGCATGCCTGTCACCACTCACGAGAGTTCCCCCCTCTCTACAGGGTGCACCCCATCCCTGTACCCCAGAGCTGCAGACCTCCAGGAGCAGGTTGGCCATTATGTGCAGCAACTGTCAGACCACAAGGGAAGCTGTGGTGCCCTGAACCCTGAGCACTGACACCTCTGCCTCCTGCCATGTCCATCCTTCAAAGAGTGCGCATTCTGGCACAATTGCCCTATCCTGATGTGCTGCAGAGTTGCCACCTTGCCCTGCCCGCAGAACCCTGCATCTGCCTCCCAGGGAGACTTCCCTCTGCTGCAAGACCCTGGATAAGCTCTTCATTTCATCTCTGTAAAGAAGGGCATCTGGACAAGGGTGGAAAGGAAGGCTCTACAGAGGGGTAGCTTTGAAGGATGAGCAGGATTTAGGGAGAGGGAGAAGTTAGGGTGGATGGTAGAATATTGTGAGCCAAAGCCGAGCTTGGCTGAGGATGCCTAGCACGATGGAGGGATGGGATGATGCTCAGGGGTAGAAAAGATAGAGTTAGGTACACGGCTTGCCTCTGAACCTTACCAAACCTCTTAGGGTTTGTGTGTGGGACAGAAGTGGAGTCAGGGGGCCAGAAAAAAATTGTTTTGCAGTGCTAGGAATTGAACCCAGGGCCTTTGCCCTGCCAATTGTGATGAGAAAGCTTATGCTCTCCAGACCTTCAGATCTCTAAAGCCAAGATCTTTTCCTTATGGGTGTATTTATTTATTTATGATGCTGAGGACTGGACTCAGGGCCATGCTAGGGAACTGCTCTACCTCTGAGGCACCTCCTCAGGCCCCTTTTGCATACCTCATGGTCCCCCTTTTAGGTCCCTCTAGCACCATCAGTGTTTTCCATGCCTCCTCATATGTCCCTAGTTTTCTGCCCATGCACTTGAGATAGATTTTCCCCAGGAGAATCCCATTTTTCTTCTAATCTGGGAGACGGGAGAAAAACCCACTCCAGGCTGGAGCATTCTCGGATTCCTCAGTGTCAGGCTCACTTGGACATAGCTGCTTGTCCATCCTGCTTTCCTGCTGAGGAGCATCTAGGGACCTCAAAGTCTGGGTGTGACACCAAGCTCTTAGAGTCTTCAAGCCTTTGTCCCTGATCTCACCAAGCCACAAAGAATGATTGAAAAATATCGTGAAAGTTTACATTTTTAAAAAAATTCTTTACAATAAAGACATACGGCCATGAATCTCCCTCAAAATCCTCCCCCTCACTCCAAACACACTGATCTCATCGCTCTGGCCACTCTCTGAAGCAGGTCTAAAGTCTTCTTTCATGAGGCTCTTCACTTTGTGCTCTCACAGCTGCCTTGATGTCCTGAACTGATCCAAAACGTTTCCCTTGTATGGTTATTTTGATTTGGAGGAAGAGCCAGAAGTCACACAGCGATCAGATCCGGTGAGTAGGGTGGGTGACAACTGACCATCATGTTTTTATGAGCCTCTCTTTCCACTGGATGGCACTCGGCCGTACCATTCACTGTATTTTTGATCCCACCTTGTAAAGACTTTCGTGATAGAGGACTTCCGGGCTGAGTGATGGTGCACACCTATATTCCCAGCACTAGAAGCAGGAGGATCACTGTGAGAGTGAGACCCTGTCTAAAGAAAAAAGAAAACTGCTTCAGAAAGTGGCAAGAAAGATGAGATGTGTATTCAAATCAAGGGGGAGGATTTTGACTGGGATTCATGGCAACGTCTCTCGGTGTAATAATTTTTTATATTTAAACATTCACCACATATTTCAGTGACACCCTGTAAGCCTGACTCTTAGTGAGTAGGCTCACGGTACTCTTAAGTCTTCCCAAGAACTTGCTCTCCATCTCCAAACGCTGATCTTTGTCATGGGCAAGGGGCTCAAGAGTCGCTTCTCAGCCATTTGCTTTGAATATGTTCCATGTGTCTGAATTGGCCTCTCTCAGAATTCAGGGTCTATTTATTACTGAGCATCCCTAGTCTGAAGATTCAAGGTCCAAATTCTCCAAGCTTTGAAACTTTTCAAGTGCTAACATGACAGCACAAGTTAAAAAGTCCATACTTTCGCTCACCTGAGGGATCTTAGTCAAAAGGCAGGTACATTAAAAATATTGTCTCTGGGAAGCTGAGGCAAGAGGAGGAAGAGTTAGAACCCAGGCTGGGCAACTTAGTAATTTATGGAGACATTATTTCAAATTAAGAAAGTAAATAAAGCTGGGTGTGGTGGCACAGGCCTGTAATCCCAGCACTCAGGAGGCTGAGGCAGGAGGATTGCTGTGAGTTTGAGACCAGCCTGGGCTGCATAGTGAGTTCCAGGTCAGTCTCAACTACATGGTGAGACCCTGCTTCAAAAAAGAAAGTAAATAAATGAATTAAAAGGGCTGAAGATGTAACTCAGTGGGTAGGACCTGGGTTTAATTCCCAGTATCACTAAATAAATAAATAAATAAATAAATAAACAACCAAACCACCCTAAGCCTATGTGTATTAAGGCTTGCACATCAGGATATCAGCTTGCTGCAGGCTGCAGTGTGGGCATCGGGCATGTTTTTCCTTGTGATCTTCCCCTAAGGGACAGAAGCACCAAGGTCAAGTGGAAATGCCACCACAGGCTGGGGACTGTGGGGATCAGGTGCACCTTCTTTCGGCTGCCTGCCCTCCCTCCTCTCCCATGAATGGCAGTGAATGGCCAGAGCCTCTCTAGGGCAGCAGGAATTCAGATGGGTGACAAATGGGGTCTTTGTGCAGGACCGGGAGGAGGGTGGCAAGGGCTTCATTACCATCAGCCTCTGTCTGAAATCCGAGACCAAGGAGTCATGGTGTCAGGTGTGGGAGCGCTTGGCCAGGATTGGTGCCCGAGAAGCAACATGGTCCAGCAGAGCAGAAGCTGGGATGGGCCGGTTGAGAAATCAGGGTTGGTCCTGCAGGGAGGGACATGCTCAGCTCATCATGGGAAACTGAGTTTATCAGGAAGGGGCCATGTCTGATCCAAGTGGAGAGAGGAAGAAACAATAAGGGAATCACATCTACTCAGGGCCCAGGAGAGGCCTCTGCAGGAAGCAGAAAGGTGCTGGTAGGACAAGGACAAGCTCCATCCCTGGAAGAGACTCGGTGTCCACGTGTGGACATTGTGGAGGGGCTGGATAAACAGTGTTGTAGAAAGGATGTCCAAGGACAGAGGGTCGGAACAACACCCACGGACAATCACAGCTGTGTCTCCTTGTATTAGTTGTATTAGTCTTCCCATTGTTGAGTCACGACACTGGACACAATTTAAAGCAGGAGACATTTGATCTGGTTCATAGCTTCAGGACATTCATTCCATGGTCTGGTGGCCCCCAGACAAGAACATCATGGCAGAAGGGTGTGGTAGAACAAGGCTGCTTGGTTCATGGTGGCCAGGAAGCAGAGCAGGGGAGTAGATCCAGAGAGGAAGGGGTGAGGGACCAGATAGAATACCCACGGTCACACCTCCATGGCTCACCACGACACCCAGGAACATGCTCTACTAATCTGCTAGGCATTTCTTTCTCTCTTCGATATCAGGGATTAAACTCAGGACCTTGTTCTTGCCAGGCAGGCGCAGTGCCACTGAGCTACATCCCTGGCCCTAGGTGTTTCTTAATTCAATGAATCCGACATAAGGATTAGCCACGACACTTGCCCTTTAGGACCCCACTCCCTACCAGGGTCCACTTCAGCAGTGGGCCAGCTTGGCATTCTCCTGTCTTCTGGGACAGGGCTGCCCATGGCTTCCCCCTACACCATAACCTGTGTGTGCAAGACCCTCTCCAAGAAGCCAGCCCAGATGGAGGAAGCTGTAGCCTTCAGGTCTGATACATCTTTCTGTGCATTCACAAGCATACTGTGCTTCCATAATCTGACCCTAGGCTGGCAAAGGGTGAAAGTCATCTGTATTCCATTTCCCTACTGTCCTCTGCTTTTCTAACCCTCCTTCATTAGCATCCATGTTGGGTGGGACTTAACCTATCCCCAGGGGTTCCAGCCTCCAGGGCCTGGCTTGTTACCTGTGCCACGTGGCTGGCCTGGGGCTGGGACAATAGCAGTTTAATGGGAAAAGAAATAAGACAATGAAATGGAAGGCACAGTTACCAAGGGGATATAATCAACTGAGAAAAGGTGAATTTTGACTCACAAAATTCTAGTCCACGAGCAGGAAACCCTGTGATTTTGGGCCTGTGGCAGGACAACCCATCATGGCAGGAACACGCGGCCAAGCAGAACCACTCAGCTCATGGCCAGAAGCTAAAGAATGAAAGAGGAAGGGGCTGAAATCTCACAGTCACCCCCAAGAACACACCCCCAATGGCCTAAAGACCTCTCATAGGCTCCACTTCTCAGAGTGTCCACCACACAGACACTGGCTGCAGGAGCTTGGATTTTGAGCAAATTGCATTTGCTGCAAGTTGGGCAAATTAGCACAAGAACGCTGTGGGTTGTGCCAGGCATGGTAATGCACACCTGAATTCCCACAGTTGAGAAGCTGAGACAGGATGATCACCCTGAGTTCAAGGCTAGCCTAGGCTACATAGTTCAAGGTCAGCCTGAACTATTCAGCGAGGGCTTTTCTCAAAAAAGGAAACGAATGTTGTGTGTTGGGTAACGGCAAACATTTCCACAGGATCATCTCTCTGCAGAAGTTCAAAGTCCAGGGGCACAGAGAGAAGGTGGGTCTCAAAGGGTACTGAATTCCTCTCCTCTCTTTCTTCTTTCCAAGAGATCTGGGCCCCAGAGTTGTGGGCTGTTAAAGACCCTGCCTGTACCTTCTCTCCTCCCACACAGCTAGAAGATAAGCTCAACACTGAGATTTCTCTTACCATCTAGAGGTTATTAAGGTACAAGTTATGACAGAAAAAATATGATGAATGTTTAAATTTTTTAAATGTATTACAGTAAAAGACACATTGCCATTAAATCCTCCTCAAAATGCTGTCCCTCACTTTGAACACATCTATTTCTCAAGCAGTTCTGGAAGAACGCTTTCTTGAGTGTCATGCCTGCAGTATGATGGCTACCTCATCTTAAATTGGTTTATAGGGTGTTAAAAGGCACGAGGAAGTTAAGGGCCTGCTATTCCCAGAATTGGGCCATTAGAAAACAAGGTTTCCCATTCAAGAGGATGAACACCCCTTGACCTGGAATGTTTTGTAGGTAAACAAATACAATTACAGGGGACTGAAGACTATGGGTAAGGGTCACAACTCATGAGGAAAAGTCCCCTGGCTTTTCCTTTCACAAACATGCTAGGCGTGGAGTCCCGTATCTGTCATCTCAGAACTCTGGAAGTCTGAGGCAGGAGGATTGCACATTTGAGCTGGGCCTGGGCGACTTAGTAAGAACCTGCCTTGAAAATTTTTTAAAAGTCTGGAGATATAGCTTAGTGTGAGGCCCTGGGTCCAGTCCCCAGTACCGGGGGGGAAAGTGCCATAGTGTCTCCTTTACCTTATTCTGTCCACACAGACCAACCTGGTACGGTGTGGGAGGGGACAAAGCAAGGTATCAACACAGGAGGCAGCTTCATTGGGACTGTGTCAGAGGTGGGCTACCACACTGACCAGTCACACATTTAGGCTATGTGGAGGCTGATCCAAAGAAAGGACTCCTTCCTTTCTTTCTCCCTCCCTCCCTCCATCCTTTCCTCTCATCCTTCCTTCCTTCCTTCTTGGTGATACCGAGAATCAAACCAACAATCTCATACGTGCTAGGTAAACACTCTAGCACTGAATCCCAGCCCCAGCCCAAGGCATGACATCTGTATTGGGGGGGGTTGTTTTTTGTTTTTGCAGACAGGGTCTCACTATGTAGTTGAGACTGACCTGGAACTCACTATGTAGCCCCGTCTGGTCTCAAACTCACAGCAATCCTCCTGCCTCAGCCTCCCAAGTGCTGGGATTACAGGTGTGCACCACCACACCAGGCAGCATGACATCTTTAAAATGGCTTTTATGAGGTATTTAACACGTTTGATAATATTAAGGAATTATGAATGATTACTTTCAGTGTGGTGATATTACTGTTACAGTATCTTTTTAAAATCCTTAGCTTTTAGAAATATTTACCAATGCATCAAATTCATTTCAAAATATTAGGGAAAGTAGGAAATAGCTTGTAGTATCCATGAAATAATATTAGTCATAAATATTGAGGATTGAACAGAGGGCCTTTGCACTGAGCTACATCCTCAGCCCTTTCTGATATTTTGATTATTGAGACAGGGTCTCATTAAGTCACTAAATCACCCAGGCTGGGCTTGATCTTCTTTTAAAAATTATTTTTTGTTTGTTTATTTGTTTATTTATTTATTTTGAGACAAGCTCTCGCTATGTAGCTCAGGCCAGCTGGCTTGAACTCACCATGTAGCCCAGGCTGGCCTCAGACTTGCAGTGATCCTCCTGCTTTAGTCTCCTGATTGCTGGGGTTATGGGTGTGTGCCACCAAGCCCAGCTGTGAACTGCTAATTGCCAAAGCTAGTTTTTCCTCTACCCCTTTAAAAGTGGCCTTAGATAAACAATCAGTCTGATCTCACTGTCCTCTCGACTGCAGAAGTAGATGGAGGTCATTCATTCATTTGTTGGGCATCTACTCTTTGCCCGAGTCTGAATGAGGCACCAGAGGTATGAGATAACTCTTACACCACCCTGTTCTGAAAGAGTTCCTGACCAAGCCCAGTGGTTTCCCATCCTCTAGGCCTGCTTCGTGAAGCACTATGGGTATTCCTAGATCAACAGTCCTGTCTGCAGAATTAACTGGAGAGGCTTCTGATGTGCCTGCCTTGCAGGGTACAAGTGGTGATGCGTTCCATCTGAGAACTGCTGCTCCACTTGGCTCCGTACTCATTCTTGCCATTAAGTGGCTTTCTGTGCCAGAAAAGCTGCACCAGGCACTTTAGGTACATCATCTTCTCCAGTCCTTACTGGAAGTTCAGCTCTGCGTCCTTTTCCCACATAGGGAAACAGTGTCATCATGGCTCACCGATGAGTGTGTGGCACCTGTGGTCTCCTGTCCCTGGCCATGAGCTGGATGACTCCTTTCAGGGCTATATTTTGAGTTGTTAGGACTTTTAGGCCCTCACTGCCTCTGTGACTTTGAGCCAGTTCCTTCACCCTCTCATATTTGGTCTCCTTTCTTATCTTAGATACACCTGGTTGTGGAGGTGGCAACACATGAACAGTATCCAGTTCCATTCCTTTCCTTCTCTCCATGCCCACAGGTAGCAGGGGATGGACTGGGAGGGCGGTTTGCCCAGGAAGAGGTGTCATTGGGTGAGGGCAGACAAGGGGGAAGGCAGAGGGCTCCACCTTGGTCTCTATCTCTAGCTGCAGAGAAGAGGGAGGAGCCCTGGAGGGAACACTCACAACCACAAACCTGCAAAAGGAAGCCCTGGCCACTGCTTGGAGGGGTACAGAGACCCTCAGGGTGCTGGGGATGAAGAGTCAAGCAGTTCATTGTCAGGGAGCACTGCGGCAGGAGGAGGAGGGGGGCAGATGGAAGAGACACTGAGGAAGTGTGGGGTCGCAGCTCAGGGCTAGAGCGCTTGCCTAGCATCCTGGATTTGATCCTCAGCCCTGGAAAAAACATGACGGAGTTCACTGTATCCTCTGAAGACAGAGGGATGGATGCTTGGCTCTCGCCAAATAAAAGGCTTAAATAAACCAGCACAAAGGATTATCCACACGTGTGGCCCAAAGATCAGTGTACAAGACCCCATGGATAGGTTTCAGAGTGGCTAAAGGGCACTGCCAGTAATAATAGCATTGACCCCATGTAGTGCTTTATAGGAGGTGGGATGAAAATATATGGTGAACCGGGCGTGGTGGCACACACCTATAATCCCACCACTTGAGAGGCTGAGGCAGGATGATTGCCACAAGTTTGAGGCCTGCCTGGGCTACAATAGTGAGCTTCAGGCCAGCCTGAAAAAAAGTGAGAGACTGTCTCAAGTATAAATATAAATATATATATATATGGTGAATACTTAAATTTTAAAAATTATTACAATTAAAAAACACATTGCCATAAATCCCTCTCAACCCCCTCCCCACTACACATGCACTTATCCCACCATTCTTTTCTTTTTTTTTTTTTTTTTTTGTTACTCGGGTCCAAAACCCGGTCCCATTTTTTTTTTTTTTTTTTTTTTTTTGGTACCTGGGATCAAACTCAGGACCGGCATATTGCCACTGAACTAAATCCCCAGGCCAATCAACCCCATCATTCTCAAGACTTTCTGAAGCAGTTCTGGAAGTTCTTTTACATGAGTGTCTTCAGTCACACTGCGCTAGATCTGGTGAATAAGGTAGAGGAGGGCACAACATCATGTTTTCATTTGACAGAAATTACCATCAATGACTTGGTCTGAGAGTGCCCTGGTAGGATTGTCACTGTGACAAAATACCCAAGCTAAATATCTTAAAAGGAGAAAAAGGTTCTGGGCTCACAGTCTCAGAGGTTTCAGTTCATGGTCCCTTGGCCTACCTCTCTGGGCCTTTGGTGACAGCAAGAGCATGGGACAGAGGTCTGTTTACCTCATGGCCAGCTGGGAAGCAGAAAGAGGGAGGAGAAAAGGCCTAAGTCCTCTTCAGTGACCACCCCTATGTCCTAACTTCCTCCCTCTAGGCCCCAACTCCTAAAGTGTCTACCACCTCCCAGGAGTACCATGGGCATTTCAGGTCTGAGTACAATGGAGATCCAGCCACATCATGGAACTGCCAAGAATTTTCTTTCCTCGGGTCTAAGCAATCCTGCCTGCCTTCCAGTGTTCTGAGGATTAAGTAACAGTGCTCTGAAAACACTCTGGGTGGTTCTGTGATTCACACCACATCGTGGCCACTAGGGGCAGCAGAGGCTTGGAACCCAGGCCTACTGAGCCCCCTGTTCCTCTGTCCATCAGAGGCTTCTTCCATCCCAAACCTGGCCTTGGCTGGCCAAGGCGCAGTAGGCCACCTCCCTGTGTCCTCTGAGCACTCTGAAGTTATCCAGGGCCCTGTGCGGCCATCACTATCCCTGTTTCTTATAAGGTAGGACTGTGGGTGTCCTCGTCTTACTTTGTGGGTGGGACAGGGAGTCAGTCCCTCAGCAGTTAAGAGCCTGGGCCCCCCGTTTATTAGGGTCGGGGCATCACTTCACCCACTCTGATCTCAGCCCCACTTTACCTCCCACCTTTTCATCTGCCCACCAGGCTTAGAGGGGTGCAGAGTGTGGTGGGGGGCAGGTGTCCAGTGTTGTCCCCCCCCCGTGCCTGGACGGTCCTTTCTGAGCACTGCCCTGAGGGTCCTGACCTCCTAGCCAGAGTGTGTGGGCTGCTTAGGGGTGGGGGCAGGGCACAAATATGGGAAGACACAAACTTCTGGGTCCCCCTGAACTCTGTCAGGCTCTCAGCTGTCTGTCAGGGTCCTTTCCTTCCTGTCTCCTCCCATTTCCCATCTTCTCCGTCGGTTTCATCTTCCAAGGCCTCTTTCTGATGGTTCTTGGTTTTGTTTGTGGCCAGGGCCTTCACATTGATTGACATCCCTAGCCTTTTATATTTTTGATTTTGAGACAGGGTCTCCATAAATTGCAGTTGCCCAGGCTGGACCTGAACTTGGAATCTTCCTACCTCAGCCTCCTAGAGCGCTGGGATTACCTTGAGAGCCACCAAGCCTGGCTTCCAGTGGTTCTAACCTAGCTGCTGGACTTTGAGGGGCCGTCAGACGATTCCGTTGAGGGTGGCCCAGAATTGGTGTGGTGGGGACTCTGGGACCCAGCAGAGAGGTGATAGGTGGGTGGAATGGGGCGGTCACTAAGCCAGCAACCAGCCTTCCACCCAAAGTCAAGACTCCCCACCCTGCTCCCTGCTCCCTGGCCAGGACAAAGGGCAGAGTCCTTGCGGGTAGGGCTCACGGCCACCCAACCCACGTGCGCCAGAGCCCAGCGAACTCCAGTCCGCTCCAGATCCGTCCCAGGTTTTTCCTACGTATCGCTGGGGTCTCCTCCAGTTGGAGTCGCCTGGAAAGCCACCCAAGTCCCTAACCTCTAGGCGCCCAGGGCTCGCGTCTACTTGGAAGTCCAGGTCGGACCTTAGGGCGACCCTGATCCCCTAGGACCGTCCTCCCCGCCCCTCAGCGCCGCTGGGCTCCCGGCACCCTGAATGCTCTCGGTAAGGTAGGAGGACCTGGACAGGGGGTGGCGGGGAGGCGCTGCTACGCTGCAGAACTGGGCTTTCGGAAGCCACTGTCGTCCCCTCCACCCAAGGGACAAAACGGCCGCGCCCCCTCCCGGCCAGGTGGCCCAGATAACCAGGCGGATCCAGCCTCAGGTCCCCAGAGGCGCTTTCGGTTCGTCCCACCCAACCCCTCTTTTGTCCCTGGGGTTCCAGGCCCAGGGGACCCTGCCAAGTAGACAGCTTTCTAGGGAATTTGGGAATTTGCCTCCCCCTGCTTCACTTCAAGCCCTCTCCCTGTGAACAAGGTGGAGAAAGACCCTCACCCGGGAATTCCCCCAGGCGAGCCCCCTTCTCTCTGATGTGGCCCTCCGCACAGCTCCCCTTGCTGGCCGGCTTCCTGGCCCCCTTCCAGCTCGCTCACTTCACCGGCTGGCCCCTGCCTCTGCTTCCGGGTGTTCTCTCCCAGCTCTCCTCTGACTCTAGCCGCCCCTGAACCCACAGCCTTCCCTCGGGCACCCTGGCTAGAAAGGGGTGGTGTGTCAGACGCCTTCTATTTATGGTTCCCCTGGGGAGGGGCTGTGCGCTAGGATTTTTTGAGCATTGCCCAGCAGGGAGTCCCGAAGTGTCCCGTCGTGATTCCAGGTGGGGCACCACCTCCGGCTTTCTTCTCTCCTCCCCTCCGGCCCACATAGTCCTGTCCTTTTGTCTGCTTCCTGCCTCAGTTCTTGTCCTTTTTGCTCTGCCTTTGGGGTCTTTGTGTAGCTGCTTTCTTTGTCTTTGCCTGGTGGCATTTCCCCTTCATCTCCTCCCTCCCCAGCCTCCTCCAGTCCCGAGAAGCCATCAGCCTGAAGGGCCTCAGTATTTAAGGTGTGTTGGGGTGTGGTGGGAGTGGGATGGGGTAGGTGGGCACCCAGCTTGCCCATCTATGACTCCAATCACTGTTTTCCCCAGAGTGGTTACTCATATTATGAGATGAGCAGAATAGCCTCAGGGATGTAGGGATGGGGGAAGAGGGAAAGGCCCCTCTTCCTGGAGCCTGGTGCAGGACTTCCCTGAACTCCACTACAGTGTGCTGGGATCTCGGCTGCCTCTTCCTCTGTCTGCCTGGACACTTTATGGGAGTTAGTTCCAAGGCGCCAGGTTGGCAGGTGCCAGAGGGCAGGAAGTGATCGGACTGTGGAGCAAGAATTTTTTTTCCTGGTACTGGAGTTTGAACCTGAAGCCTCCTGGAGCCCCAGACCTCCCTTCCTCCCAGTACTCACCTCCCCCAGGGCTTAGAGACCTTAGAACCTTTACACACACACACACACACACACACACACACACACACACACACACAC